ATATATATATATATATAAACATATAATGTTTTAAGTTTTAATTATAAGCTAAGGAATTATTACTTGAAGTAGCTGTTGAATCATCGTGATGAAAAGGCTGGAGAATTTTCAGGATTTATTTGAACCTGTTTCTTAACTTGTTAAATAAAGCTGAAAGAACAGGTTTAAACATGGTTACCAGCACGGAATTTTATGCTGCTATATCATATAATTTCAGCTATTTTAGAAATATTCTAGGAAAGTTGGATACTTTAAGATACAGTACTTGATGAAAGCCTAGTGAAACGTCCATTGTAAACCGATCACACTCTAATGTTTGGTGTGCAAATTCTACCAAGAAAGAATATTTGATGAACCGTCACACAATGCTATCGAAAGAAGAATAAGTTGATTTTATATTTCAAGTCCGAGTCTTTGTTACCAGCGGTAGATCATATTAAATGAATATCCACAAAATGGAAGCAGAAAATAAAATGGATGCAGAAACATACTCTCTTGGTTTTATCTAGATCAAACTCAATAGATTTGATTCTATCCCAAGAGTCCATTAGCACACGCTCCTTATCTACAGGAATCTCAGCAGGTTTGCCTTTGAGCGCTGAGAACATTTCCTCAAGCCTCTCCATACGCTCTAAACAAGGATTAACTCGGTCTTCTTTGACAACCTCAACAACTTTATTATGTTCAGCGTGAGATACTGCCGTATACGAAGGATGAATTGCCTCAGCGCTGCTGCTTTGTTTATACAAAATACGAAAAGCGGAGAGAAGCTTGAAAAATAATGCCATTAAGACCATTGCAAAATATCTCAAAACTCCTTCAATTGATCCTTCGTTGGGCCAACTGAGGCCTGAATTTCCTGGAACATAAAAAGCTAATCACTAAACAACTTTATATTTGATGCAGGGAGGTAATGGTGCAGCCTATAAATTGCATTAAGAAAAAAGGATTATACACAGCGTGGCAAAAATAATGCAATTCCACATTGTAACATCTAAGGAAACTAATACTCAAGTACTAATAGTATTATTGCGAGAAAATTCACTACGTAATGCAAATGTCAATTTTCTCGGCTAGCGCACAAATAAGTCATTTCAACTTAATTGAAACAAGCATTATAATAACTGAAATTACAATTCATTTCAACAAATTTTCTCAGTCAAGATTACCCTCAAACTAATGACGTTCTGTTACCTATTATAACAGGTTAATGGAACAAGAAACAATTATTCAGTTTTTCATTTTCATCCAATTTGAAACCTGGAATGGGATTTCAGTAATATTTTTTTAAAAGGAAAATGAAGAAAACGAAATAACTTAATTGATTTCACTATGATGAACATTGTTTTCTTACCATCACGATTTATTTGTTCTCTATCTCTTTTAATTGACATTCTAGAAGATCCTGCCCCGGGAGTGCCATGGTCAATAGCTTTATCAACCACACCAAAACGGTCTTCACAGCTGCAGGAATTGGTTGCTCGAACCTGGACAACATAAATAAAAAGTAATAAATATGATCACCTATTCCAGCAATAATTCATTACAGAACAAACTAATGATTTTTCATAGCATGTAATATCTAGCAATAAGTCATGTTAAGGAAACTGTTTTCTTGTGATTTGTAAGAGTACGATAGGTAGGTGATCAAAGCAAAAGATTATAGCATCATTTACATTGAGTTATGCTGGTTTTGATCAAAGCTTAATCAATACACAACCAGACTTCATATTATTTAAACTGAATGAGGAGAGTTGACTTCGGGTGAAATCACTTGAAATTGTTTTTTTTTTTTTCCACTAGGAAATGTAAGGAAAGATATATATTATTTGAGAATTTTTGAAATAAATATATTTAAGTAATGAATATAGCACTTAATTG